GCAATACATTTCCAAAGGAGACAAATTCTTGCTTATCAAGTCCATGTTTGTCACTCCTCATCTTTCTCTTTCTTTCTTTCTTTCCTCAGAATTGTGTTGGGAATTGAAATTATAGACATTTTGACATGGTTTTTGATGAAAAGCATTCTAGGTAAAGTCGACAGCCTGAATTGCCAATCTGTACGGTTTTATTTTCTAAAATAAACAACTGAAAATTGGGTAGCAAATCTTTGTTTGCAAGGGAGTTTTTAGATCTCTTACCCACAAACTCTTCCTACATCCCTATCCATAGGACACTACATGCATGCATATGCATCGAAAATATCTCTTTTGTCATTTATGGGGCGATAGAAAAAAGGGAGTACACCAATAGATGGGTCTCAAACATTTGCAGGTAAAAACTGCAAAACTAATCTATAAAATGGTGGATACGCCTGAATTAATTAGAATTTCAAAAACAATTCATAGATTGCTGAAAGCTGCCTTTAAACTTATAACTGAAAGATGTCCATGTGCATGGTTTTCAAAACCGGATTGGACCGGAAAAATTGGGTATCGGTCATTTTTCCTTAAAATCGTTGATTTTAGTTAGCAAATCATTGAACAGGCCGGTTAACCATTTAAATGGTAGACTGTTTTTCAAATTTTTAATTTTTTTTTTTATATTTTTGTCAATACGGGCCGATTGTTTGGGTCGAATGGTCAGATCGTTCGAACTGGTAACCGGACCCTTGACAGATTCGATTTTAAAAACCATGGATTTTGGGAACTGAGTTGAGGGAACTAATTGATTGTGGGTGTGAATTTAAATAGCCGCTTGTTTGTTTGTTTTTTAATTAAAAAAAACCACAAAATTCTGAGAGGATTAAGAAACAATGTGAAGTAAAGGGGGTAGCCCATCCCCCAAAACAACCCTAGTGCAGGTGGGATTTGATCCCAAGTAGGGGTGTCAATGGACCGGATTTGGGTTGAACCCGTTCAAATCAAATTCAATTTGAACAGGTTGGACTGCCCAATAAGACATTAAATTTGACCAGCTCAGATACTTAATGGACCAAAGTATTTATTGGATTGGATTGGACCTGATCCATCTATAATGAATTTTGGTGTAGGCGCATTCGGCTGGCTTATACGGGGCTGATGCATGTCGACTAGAGGGTGCTACCGTTAACTCGCCATGAGGACACCCAAGGTTACCCTATGCGGATTAGGCAGGCCCAACCATAGGGCGCCGCATGGCTCTGGTAAAGGATCTTGCCAGGCCCTCGTACGGCTTGCATCCGGACCATTTGAGCCCAACTACTCCCTGGCAGCTCCAACTATAAATACAAGGCACCCCCCACAAGGTAAGGGATTTGAAACTTTTGTGATCTCTAATGCTCTCTCTTCTAAGGACTTAGCGCTATATGAGACCTCGTATGGACCCCTCAGCTCCAGACTCATTACTTACCTGGTGCACATACTAACCTGACTGTTGGAGTCCTCGCCTTGGGTTCTCACTTGAGACCTCGTATGCAAGTTGGGCACGCTCTGTGAGGGGCAGATGTGGGTTCAAGTGCTACAACACAATGCCATACATTTACAGCTTGGATTTTGGAATTACACAGCATGTAAATTTCCTATTGGCTGAAATTTGACTCTGTAATTCATGAACTTTTTTGTGGCTAGGGGTGGGGGGAATTTGTTCAACCCACCCCTAGAAATCTTAGCTCCACTGTACAGTTGGGGTAGGTGCCAACTTGGAATTGATGCCAATTCACAGGCGAGTATGAGTGTTATAGGTGGAGGTATTTATAATTTTGAATTATTGTAGGTCTGTAGTTGAATTCAGAATTCTGAGGTGGAGTATCAAAAAAAAAGCCACAAGAGAGATTGAGACTGGAGAGATGAAGAATCCCTCTGCCTTTTGTTTCTTTTTTTCACCTTCTACCATTAATGTTAAAATACAAATTTGTTTCTAAGGAGAGTACAAATACAAATATGTAGAATGCAAACCCTTGTATATGATATTTCTAAATCTTGTATTTGTACTGTCCAAGGAAGCAAATTATACTTCTTAAAAAAATTGCTTGGCTTGGGCTATGGTCAGCAAAGCCCATTTGCAAAACAGAATCCATTTAAATCTTTTGAACAAGCCCACAAATCATGTTATCAAAGACCAGAGGCAACACATATAGAATACTACTAAGTATGTTTATAAGTCTAGGAGGGGCTAGGGGTGTCAATTGGACCGGCTTTGGTCCAATATGAGTCCATTATAGATGGATCAGTCCAATCCAATCCAATGAATACTTTGGACCATTTTAGAGTGGTCCAATTCAATGTCTGGACCGTTTAATTTATTCAAATTGGTTTCGATTTAGATTGGTTCCAATCCAAATGTGGTCCATTTTCACTTGTATTTTTATCTTCTATCAATGGACCAGATATCGGTTCAACCTGACCCAATCCAATATAAATCTATAACAAATGGCCGGGTCCAATCCAATCCAATAAATACTTTGGACCATTAAGTTTGAACTGGTTCATTCAATGTCTTATTAGTCCATTCAATCAAATCTAAATTGATTTTAATTTGGACAGGGTCCAACCAAAAACCGGTCCATTGACACCCTTAAGAGGGGCGGCATTTGGTAAAACGAAAACGACTAAAAAACCCCTTATTTTCCATTATGGTGGAGTTTCAGAACATCGAACTGCAAGAAGCATAATAATTGATTTAATTGGTGGATCTCTCTCTCTCTCTCTCGTGCAACTTGGCATGGGTCAATCCACAGCCCAACTCATTGAACCCAATTTGGGCCTAATCGGGTTGGGTTTCAGAAATTAGGTTGGAACAATTTGGCATGGGCCAACCCGAAACCCAACTGGTTCAACCCAATTTTGGGTCTAATTGGTTGGAGTTTTCAGATATCAGGGATGGTAGTATATACTCTTGAAAAGTAGATGCCAGTACATTTATAACTCTCTTGGCAAGAGTAAGATTAGCATTTCATAAAGAAAAAAGAGACCCTTTGAGAAGTTATTGATGTTTCTTTTGGTGAATAAGTTTTTAAGAGGTTATGGGGTTGAAAATTGGGCACATATCACTATACTATTGAATATTTTATTATTATTCACTAAAAAACAAAGTAATAAGTCATTCAGTTCATCATTTTTAGCCTCATTCAGTACTGAAATCTTTATGTATATGATTATTTTATCTACTGAAACACAAAAACAGTAAAGTTATTCTGCTTAACCAAGATCAACCGTCCCTGACAACACTCTTTGGGCATCAAAGGAAAAATGAGAGACAGACAAGTTACTGGGTGACAAGGTCCAACCCCAATATGAAGCCCTACTGGAATGGATGGAGGGCATAGTCCATCTGCATGTTCACTTCAGCCCATATTTGAACTCTATATCTAGAAGAAAACAGAAGTGTACAAGAAATCCCAAATGCCAAAGTCAACCAAACAACCTTTAAATCCACCAGTTCTAGTTCTATATTATAAAGGGCTATCCAAAACAGTGTTTAATACATCAGATGGTTAAAAGATCATCCCCTGAAATTTCAATTCAATCCCCCCTTTCTTTTTCACAACCTCCTGATCAATGGAATCTGGAGTAAGAAGCTTTATAAAAGGTCTACCATCAATTACCCAAAAAGAACAAGAAAAAAGAGAAGAAAAAGGAGATTCATCCCTCTCTCCTTTCTGCTTAAACTACAGCAACAAGATCATTAGCTCATTACAAACCCATGATACACTACCAGTCTAAAGTAAACCCTCTTTCTGTCTTCTTTTGGGAATTCTCTCTCCTCTTTCTTCTCTCTCTCTCCTCTTTCTTCTCTCTCTCTCATCTTTCTCAAACCCCAATGAACTCCCTTCCCCAATGACTACTCCCCATCTCTCAATTCATGAGATCTCAGTCCAAAGTGTGTGAAAAACACTAAAAATCCCCGCGTGCGGCCTCCCTCCCTCCTTGGGAACCCATCTCTCCCCCCTTCTCACGCCTTTTCAAGAAGACCCTCCAACCAGACAAAATAAGCCTAGCTTTTGTTTTGAAATCCTCATTTCTATAAGCTTTTTAGACCGACATTCTCTCTTATTCCTGCCGAAAGTTCCTTAATAATCCAAACATCCCTCCTTTCCCTCTTGCCCTCATTTCAGGGTGACCAACCCCACCTCAGCCGACTCCTTTGGTCCCACCACTTGAATCTCTAATTCTCTACCCATATGAACCGTTTGATCAACTCTTGTGCCCCCTCTCAACATTCTTTGCTTGGTGGGGCCAAATGACTGATGTGGCTCAGGGCCCACCATTTCTGATAAAGTAGCTATATTGGTTACACTACCCCCATGACCATGAATCATGAATCAGCTCAACACTACCCTCTCACTCCTCACTCGCACAAACGCACAGTCACAGTCTCAGAGTAATATATGCAAACATGTCGCGGTCAAACAATCTTGTCCTTTGACGACACCGCGACCCGCAGCTCGAGAGCGGTTTTACGCAATCGGACCGCCAGCAAGCCATCAAATCCTCGAGATCATGCGCTGATCCACCCCGTCAAATCAACAAAATCTCAAATGCCCATCTGATTTCCATTAATGACAACCATGCCCACAACCACAGGGCTGTAAATTCAGAAGCTTGAAGGGTGGTTTGGGGAGATGAGCAGGAGTATAATCTCACTCCTGCTCCCGAAAAGGTTCGGACGGAACGGATGGGGCATGTAAAATGAAAGCGATACGGTGTCGGTCGCATCGAAAATGACAGGAATATCTTTAATCCTTGATTTTCTTTAACCCCCTTTTTTTATAATTTTTCGAATTTTCATTAATTTAATGGTTTTTTTGAGTTTTTTATATATAGAGATAGGTAGTAAATTCAGGGTGCATTTAGAGGGCGGAGACTCTGATCGACAGACAAAAGTCGGTACCGATTTATCCGCAACCCCATCTCCTGAATCTCTTTGTTCGTCGTTTTCGCTCGAGCACAAAGAACAGAAGATGGGCAACAGTGAGAAGTACGCAACGTTACCCTTCTTTATTGGTCAAGAACTGTTCGAAGCGTCCGAAACGTTTCGGTTTGTGAAGGAATGCCCGTCGTTCTATTATGGATCTGCTGTTTTCGGGACCCAGCTTTCTTTCTCTTCCCTCTCCGTCGCAAAACTTGATGACCCAGTAAAGAATGAGGCCGTTTCGGGGGAGGTTTCGTTGGGGATGGAGAACAATAATGAATTTCCTGTTCTTGAAGGAATTGCAGCTGTTGTTGGGCCACGGGTTCTGTTCGGGAACAGAATTGGTGGTGACGGTAGTAATGGAAGGTCGGGGTTGGTGTCGGTTTCGGCTCCGCAGCGTATCGGCACCGAAGCGTCGAATGCAGTGGCGGAGAAACGTGGTAGTGTTTCGGTGCAGAGGAGTTTTAGGGGAGTCCGGAAGAGGCCGTGGGGGAGGTGGTCGGCGGAGATTCGGGACCGTATAGGGCGGTGTAGGCACTGGCTCGGCACGTTCGATACGGCGGAGGAGGCGGCGCGGGCTTACGATGCGGCCGCCAGGCGACTGAGAGGGTCCAAAGCGCGGACTAATTTCGAAATTCCCTCGCCCTTGCCTGAAACTTCTGCGTCGTCGTCGTGCTCGTCGTCATCGTCGTTGGAGAAGAAGAAGCCAAAGCCACAAAGCGGAAGGACGTGTTGCGTCGTTACATCTGTGGCTCATCTCTTCAGTTCTGCAGCTGAAGAGCGGAAACCCACCAAGGTAGAGCTTGATTTGAAGCTTGGTCTGAAGTTCTCAAACAGCACTGTCACTGCAGCTTCTGCTCTGGGTTTTCCTAGATGACCTTCCTCCCCCTCATTTTCTCCCATTTTTGGTAGTCTTAGGCTCTTAGCCTTCTGATCCCTCTCTCTCTCTCTCTCTCTCTCTCTCTAATGGGTTGCATGTAGTATGTTTGAAAAAGGAAAAAACCTGCAACCACTCTTTTTGCCTTGCATGGATGTTCTATTTTTGGTAGGAATTGCACCCATGAGATGATTGGAGAGAATAGAAAATGTTCTCAGAGTTGAAAGTCCATCTTTCATGTGCAGTACATACTCGTTTAAGAAAAGGTTCACTGTCTTGGGGTTTTAAGTTGTATTTCAGAAATAGATTCTCATTTTCTGCATTTCTACGTCTTGATTTGTTGTTTTTCACTCCATCACGAACTTGTTTGTTTTCTTCTTCATAGCAGTAGTGCCAACTCTACGTAATGGTGCTTCGCCATTGCCATATATCTTGGCCAATGGTTTCATTAGGATTTGGGTTGCCTGGATGCATCTCTCTCTCGTTCTGCAACTTCTTGAAGTGCATGGATAATTAAAATGAAAGTACGAATAAATAAATGAATAATGATAACAGGGGATGTTGGTTTTGTCTGGAGACTGATGAGAGACGGAGAGGATAATCCCCCATGAAAGCCGGGTGAAGGAGATGCAGTGTGTGTGCTACAGGCTCTCAACTGCACTGCACACACAAGAGAGAGAGACTGTGTCACTGTGCGAGTGAAAGAGGAGAGAGAGAGATTGATGGATGATAATGGTATCGCCATCGATTACGATAAGACGGGCGACTTGATTCATACCTGATAACACGCCAGCTTCCCCGCCCCCTCTTCAGCTCTGCAGTCTCTCTTGTGCTGAGGGAGAGAGAGGATTTGGATTTTGGATGATTGGATCCAGCGGTCATAGAGCTTCCATTCAAACCCAAACCCAGAAGGGCCAGAAAAAAGTGTACGAAGATCACCATTCACCAATGGTGAATCACCATGTCCGAGAGATCGTAATAAATAATTAATTGAATTCGAATTTCCATTTTCCAATCCTTGTTCTTGGCTTCTTGATTAACTATTACACTTGGGTAATTAATTCTCGTTGGCTTAATTATAACTATTACTAATGGTTGTTATTGGCAACCCCAGCAGTTGAGCTGACTGATTTCATTATTGTTTACCAAACACTCATCCAGTTAAGAGACTGAAGTGGGCTTTTACTTAATTATTGCAGAGAAAATCAGGCGAAAAACACGGGCCGCTGTTCTCTGCACTCTCTCTCTCTGACGTGTTAATTCTTGGCTTATTTGTAGGTGGAAAGAAATGCAGAGGAGAATATATAGTATACTCTGTCATGTTCATTTGTGGAATTGATGAAGATGATGGTTTTACAGTGTATTTCTTCATTTATGAATTTTGACACCAATCAAACCCTGTAAAATTTGCATATGGGGAAGGGATGGATTTCATGAAGAGAGACTGAAGACAAACCTTAAAAGAACTATGGGTGAATTGGTGCATCATTTGTGAAGCAAGAAGAAAATCCAATGCCCAAGTATATATAGGGTTTGGGACTGGAAATTAAAACAAGTTTCAGTCCTCCCTTTAAACCCATAGAAACCAGGGTATAGGCTGCCAATTTTTCTAGCCTAAACAATACCCCAAAAGCTAGTGAGTTTTGCTCCTAAATTTCCTCTTCCATTGAAGTTCTTATTGATAAAAACTAATTAAGGTATGTACTCTGGAAGATTTGTTATCTGAATTCTACCCACCTAGTCCATCATTTCAATTCTTGTTTTTTCTTTGAAATCCAACCCAATGACCCACAATAGAATTAGTTGAAATTTCATCTAAAAATCAACCCTTTCAACCCAGAAGGCAAAAGATTGAATCTATGATTCTGGTACATGCTTAGTTTTTTTTATACAAGACAGAAGGAAAAGACGAAAAGCAATTAAACAAAGAAACAAACACGAAATATACATTAGGAATGTGACCCTATATTTTATTGTCCAGAGGAATTTAATAGTTGACATCAGAATTCAGACCCACCAGCTCTAGTGTTGGTAGGGTACCCACCCCACCCCACCTGAGCTGAAGACCAGATCCTTTTTCCCAGCATATAATCTAAAAATCCCACCTGAAGAAGTTGGCATCCAAGAGCATTATGTACACGTGAAAGTCACGTGAAGTGCACTGCAAAGGAACTCCAGTTTGTACATGAAGTGGCTTGTAGGTCCCACTGACTACTGACTACGTTGGAAAACAGAGAGACGAAGGATCAAAGCCATCATTGTGAACTAATAAATGCAATATTTTATTTGAAAAAATGGGTCTCTCTCTCTGTCTCTCACCAACCCAAGTCGCCTGAGGGGAAGAGGAAATCAGCAAGGAGAAATGACACGTGATTGAAAGAAATTTAATCTTTATTTTTAATTATTTATTTATTGAGTAGGATCGAGGGCTAAGTTTGATTGATGGACAGAGATGGTTGAGTGGGACCCGGGTCTTTGTTAAAAAAAAAAAAAATTCTTTTTGTTGGGTGATATAGTTTTGATTTGTAGGGTTAAAGGGGAAGTAAGACAATTAGACACTGCGTTAATCATTTACGTACGTGAGTGGCAGTGAAACATTATTACAGACTTTTCGTAAAAGGCAAATCACAGTGCACATTCAGCTTTCAGCCTTTTCTCTCTGCACTGCAGCAGAGCTACAGATTATAGAGAGAGAGAGAGAGAGAGAGAGTGAGAGAGTGAGAGAGATTGGTTCATCCTAGATTTAGATTCTATGCGAGCTTTGTTTTGTTTTCTTTTTTTGGTAATGCTCAATGTGGGAATGGATTGTTTATCATCATCTTGTTTTATTTTTATCTGTTAAGGGTATAGATTAAAAAATTAATTTCATCAGTGTTTTATTAAACCTGATTTAGAGGGAAGATGGGTCTCCGGTTCAAACATCTGGGTAAATGGGTCAAACCATAATATAATAAAAAAAAATAGAGAAATTTCTGAAAAAAAAAATCAGAAACCAGACCAATAGGTCAAAAGTTCAGCAGTCTAAAATCACAGATCATAGAATAATTGGAGCCGAGATCAGTTTAAAATCTAGGGCTGAGTTTTTGAAAGAATACAAATACAAATCCATATAGTGAAATTATAAGAATTAGCAATATAAAATACAAGGTTTTATACTGTACATATTTATATTTATATTCTTTCCAAACTGAGACTAGGTGGTAAGATGCATCGCATCTGATTTGATCAATTTTTAAAGGAAAAAGGGTTTTCTAAACAGGTTAGTTAGTAGAGAGGGTTTTTGGGCAAACCCACCTATTTGTTTCAGAGAAAGGTTCTGTGGCTGATTCAGGTACAGTTGGTCATATATATATAAAAGATTAAAAATGTCACTATATAGCGATACATAGGCATTGGTGTTTATTGTATATAAAACCATTATTTGATTTTACGATTTATCAAATAAATGATAGAAAACTGAAATATTTTAATTTGTATGCATGGGACATTTGGAGAAATGTCAAATTCATGTTTCCCCCAATGCTTAAGCATTTCTTGAAATGAAATGCTAATTTAACAGACTTTATTTGAAGTGGAAGGCAACTTTATAGGATATTACTTGAAACACTCATAAAACACCCAACCAAATAGAAAAAATAAAAACGTTTAAAGTAGCGTTTTTTAGATAAACATTTATCTAAAAAATCACCTGTCAGAAAACACCCACGAAACCAAACGTACGCAATCCCACATATTCAATTTTATGGCCATCCGTATCAGTCATGTACCCCGGCTTGTATTGATGGCTTCTGTAACTAATATGAGCTGTTCAAAGTTATAACGTTTAACACGTGGCAAATTTTGGAGGTCAGAATTGTATTAATAGTAATTTGTGAACCCGTGTTTAGGCTGCCTTTGGTTGCAGTGCAAATTTGCACTGATTCAAAACTATAATAGTACAAATGGTTTGGGTGCATATTCTGATGTAATTTTGTTTCAAATTTTAAGACCTGAAGCAGAATAAACCACTGTTTTCAAAACCGGACCAGCCCAGATGGTTGGACCGGAAAAACTGGGAATCGATCATCTCATTGGTTCCGTTTTCCTCTAAAACCGTTTTTTTCCTCAAAACCATTGATTTTGGTCAGCAAACCCCTGAATCGGCCGGTTAACCGTTCGAACGGTTCGAACCGTTTTCCAATTTTTTAATTTTTTTTTATTTTTTTGTCAGAATGGGCCAGCCGTTCGGGTCAAACGGTCAGACCGTTCGAACCGGTAACCGGACCCCTGACCGGTTCGCTCACCAATTCATTTTTAAAAACAATGGAAAAACTAACCCCACCCCCCCCCAAAAAAAAAAAAAAAAAAACTAGAATTTGCATTCTTTTCATTTGCACTTCCATGCATTTGTATTAGATTATTAGTGCATATAAAATTGCATGCAATCAAACGCAGCCTCTGCTCCAAATTAATTTTCTATGTGAAAGATTCTTAAGTTGTTTGCTAGGATGGCAATTTCTACCCTACCTAGTGGATACTTGTCTTAGTGGCGCATTTTTTTTTTTTTGCTTAAAAACTGGATTTTGGGGCCATGATGGTTTTTTGGATTTTACAACCTACACAGATATGGATATAGTATGGTATGGTACAGTATTAGGCTAAACCCAACCATCGCAACCCCCGCATATTGTTGGAAGGCAGTATGAACTTGTGTATCAAGTGTTGAGTTTAATACTATTTTGAATTTTATGTAAAGGATGATTGATAGTTTATGTGTTTTTCCCATGTTTTAATCAAATAATTGAAAATTTTGATGTTTGTTTGTAATATTTTACTTGTTTATTTCTATACACAAAAGCAAATTAGATGTGGATTCTCGACCCAACCCACCAACCCAATTTGCCCCACCCTCAAATGCGGGGAGGGTTTTCCACTTTTATTCCTGGAGAGGGTTTAGATTCTAAAATCCAACACGCTATAGGTTTTGGAGAGGGTATGGGTTGAGGTGTCTAAGGAGGCAAATAGGTTTAGAATTTACAAAACCCTCCTAGAACCTGCCTAGTTGCCATCCCTATTGTTCATGAAAACTCACTAAATGACCAAACCATGAAACCTACTATCCTTTTTCAAATTGAGACACAAAACCATAGACTACTTGTTTAACTTGGAGAAAATTTCAATACAAGAAAATACTAGGCTAACATGGACAGGGTGAGGAAATATGCAGCTAATCCAGAGGGGACACCTCTTCCCTGTTTCGTTTCCTCAAATGAGAAAAATAGGGTCCATAAACTATAAAAAGTGCAGCTTGGGCAAGTAAGGCCAGGTTCAGGGCCAAACCAGGCAATACCATAAGAGTTAGTCCCTCAGGCAGAGGCTTAGCCTAAATGGTTGGGCTATCTCAAGCTCCACTTGGAGGGGTTAGGCTATTTGAGGCCACAAATGCCCATACTCTGGATTGTTGTTAGGCCTGATTCCTATTGCCCAATTAGACTAAAGCCCAAAACCCCAAGCTCAACCGATGCCAAAGCCCAACCTTAGTTGGGCCTAATTTGGGTCAGGTTCCTCACCTCAGGTTGTGCCGTTGTATCATATCTAAACAAATATAACGTATGAAAATTAAAAACTCAAGGTAGTAAGAAAAAAGAAAATTCCCGACTCTCAAACGACCAAAGCCCATAAACAAAGGTTTGACTGCAGAAACATCTTGTATGAATTTCTTAACAAAGAATGAAAGTAGAATAATTATTGAATAAAGGATTGAAGATCCTGGCGGATAGTCTTCTATTGTGGATCTCTTTCAAATGTTTTCTTTTATTGCTGATACCTTGCTTGAATTCCAAAGGGCCAAGTGGCAAGCCCAAAACTCTCTCTCGCTCTCTCTACTCTTACCCAACTATTTTGTCATAAGGAAAAGCACAAAAATCATTAATCTAGTTACTGTAAACAGTGGGTTATTTGCTGCTTAAGCATCAGGTGAGTTTGGATTTCCACAATCAATCTTACAACAATGAACTCAACCACCACATTATTTTTTTTCGCAATTTTTTGGAGAAGAAACTTGAGATTAAAGTTCCACAAAAGTTCTGAACAACTTCCCTTCAACTTTGTGTTTCTCTCTTATTTCCTATCAAACCAGACACAACCTAACAGAAATATCATCCTCCGTGAAGCTTCTATTAGAGGAGTGGAAGAGCTCGTATCTGGGCCAATCCAGATACCAGAAAATGGAATTTCTTCCATTATCATATAATTAAAAAAACTATGTAACTAATGAATATTTAATTAAAAACTCAAGGGACCTATCTCATGTGGCAACATGGTTGGGACTTACTTGGAAATGGGAGTCAAAAGAGGCCCAAAAATTGTCCCTTTCCCATCTTCTAGTCCTTCTTTGTGGGAACCATCTAAATATTTAAAATATTCAGAAAGCAGCCAAAGCAGACCGTCCAACTGTCAAAACAGACAGCTCAGATTGGCTGATGTGGGCTATGAAAGGTCCCAACTGTCAAAACAGACGGTCCAGATTGGCCATAGATTCCTCCATTTGAAAGCCGTCCTGCAACCATCCCTCTGTGGTCCAACCAACAGGCCTTAGAAAAAGGAAAATAAATATCTTCAATCCTTTCGTTTCAAAGATGTGAGTGAGGGTGTGACCTGTGAGGGTGACAGCCATTTCAACTTACGTGTACGTGTAAAGGATGCTATCTAATCCGAATTTACGTGTAAAAGGAGGCTTCTCTAAGGATTCTGACTTGTAATACTAATACAGCCGCGTCAGCCCTACACGACCAATTCCTATTACATTTCTCCCATCAGGAAAGAGTAGACTTGCTTCCAGGAAGGAGGATTATAGAAAAAAAAAAGTTGAAACCACCATGATATGATTCTCCTTGCTACTTTGGCTTTCCAGTCTTCAAATGAAAGAAACCGCGTTAGAAATTCTAATCAACCATGCCGACCTAATAGTGTTCATGTCTCGGACCCACAAGATTTTATAAACGCAGTATCCTCCTTGTAATGGAGTTCTCTCTTTCTTTACTCCTGTTATATATGATGATGGTAATGGCATATTCCATCTCCCTCCATCCTCCCCTTCTCTCTTCATCTCTCCATAACTAAACAACTTCTTAATTCCCTCCCTCACGATGGCCACAGCTCATGGGAAACCAGATTTTGGCAGCATAGCTCCAGAATCGAAAGAAGAACAAGAGGTGGAAGATTATGAGTACTTTGGGTCCGGTGGGTGTGCCTGCTTCCGCCTCTGCTTTAGATGGAGACGGTCTAACAAAGCTGAAAGTAGTTATCTGTTGCAGCGGCAGCAGCAAGGAGAGAACACAGAGAGCTGGTGGATGAAGACGGTGAAGGCAGTGAAGGAGATGACAGAGTTACTGGCTGGACCAAAGTGGAAGAACTTCATTCGAAGGTTTAGTGGGCACAGAAAACGGAGGACCATGTTTCAGTATGATTCCTACAGTTATGCTCTTAACTTCGAAAACGAAGATGAACACCTTGACTTCTCAATGCGGTTTGCCAACCCAACTGGGGTGTCTGCGAACAACGCCGAGACCAGCAATGGAGCTCGATTTCCATTCGATGGTTAATTGATGAGCAAATATTCATCTCTAAAGAGAGGCAATTGCAGCAGAAAGCTTGTCATCAATGGAGCCCCCCTTGTACCATAAATTCATTCAGCATATTTGAACTGCTTTCATTTTTCATACAACTGAATTTGACGAAATAGTACCAGCGGTCCACGCTTTATCCTCACCCTGTAGATGTGCTGTCAAGCTTTTTGTGATTCTGTTCTCCAATCTTCTAGTTGATGCTTTCTGATTTACTTCATTCAGATTATCGTGTATGTACAGAAACACACATTCTTTATTCTTTACTTGATATAGGTGCCACTGCTGCTTTTTTTTTATAGGGTTTCTTGCATATAAGGGCACCTAAAATAGAATAGCTTTTTTAGAAAAATATCAATAAAGGGCAGACAATCGTCATCCTCCTCTCCTCTGTATTGACGCAAAAAAGACTACGAGCAGGTACAGAAGCTTGGTCCGACAACATCTTGATCTTGAAACAGTGAGATCGAGGTTGGAAGGACGATACTCTGGTTGCAACTGGAAGTTCTTTCGTGATCTTCTCCTCTTTAACAATGCGATTGTATTCTTCCCCAAGAACTCGTCCGAGTCCTCTGCCGCAACTGCACTTTGAGACGTCGTCAGAAAGGATAAGGCGAATCCAATACCATCCAAAATCAAACCGCCGGATTGCCTGCCTTAAACGCAGTTCAATCTCTGCCAAAACTTCTATAGGAAAGGGGAGCAACGACCAGGTTCTCCGACAAGGTTTCGTCGGGAAACAAACTGCATAGCAGAGCAGTCCAGCGAAAAGGAGTGTTGGGCGCCTGCGCCGTCAAAGCGGTTAGCTTTCTAGGACATGGTGAGGATTTCCTGTACTTAGCCGGAAAAATATATACAGAGGCAAAGGAGGAAGACGAACAAAACCTTATAATGTTTATGACTTTAAAATAACCATAAGGTATACACGCAAGAAACATTTGAAAATGGTGAGAAAATTAAGGATCCGTTTGCTTTATGGGACCGTTCCAATTTCATTCCCATTCTGGTGAAATAGCATTCTCCCATTCCACTCCCTCCCCCCTCCCCTAGGAACGAGAATCCATTCCCCATCCAATTCTGATTCCGAGGTTTCAATTCCAGTTTGAACCAAATAGGTGAAAGGAATAAACCATTCCGATCCCAACTGTGAACCAAACGGACCTTAAAGACAATCATGGATATCAACTTCAAACGATCAATAGTCAATACATCACTGAAACTGTTGTGTGCCGGTAACCTCAAATTAGGCTCAGTTTGAAGAGTACAAATACAAATATAGGTTTAGTGAGACTCCGGATCACCTACCCACAAGAACTCTGCCCACGTCTACTCATAGCACACTACCCCGGTGAATTGAGAATATCTCTTCCTATATAATACCATTTTAGAGGATGAGATGTTCACCATGTGTAGCTGCGATGTTATGTGGGTAGACATGGGCAGAGTTTCTGTGGATAGGAGATCCAGACTCGTTTAGTGATACAGAATACAAGGTTTTGCACCGGACATATTTGTACTCTTTTCAAACTAAGCCTTAATACAACGTTCCATGGTAGCTGAACTATATCACTCTTTCAGATTGCATGGGTTGTGCTTTTGCTAGGCTGTGTTAGCATGTCTGTTATCTTTCTCCTTACCAAATAATAAATAAATAAAACTCGATACTTCGAAGTTGAAGCCTTGCATGGACCCTTCATTATAGGAATCACACCATTGGAAGGGCATTAAAGATTTTGCTCTGCTAAGAATGTGTCATGAGTGTGCAAAAGTAAACAAGACTGGGTGATCAACTGGTACTAAATAGTTACACACGCATTTAAAAGGCACATTTAGTCCAAGTATGGCACTATTTGTGATGGAACTTTTCATGTGTCTAAGAGTGAGATTTTCTGCTAAGGGACAAAATAACAAGGTCATGTACACACTATTTTATACATATGATATCAAATAAACCGTAGGTGCAAACATTTGAGAACTACAATATCTATTCAAAATCGGTCCACCTAACCTGTAACCTTTGTGCAAGGTGGATAGCTCTTCAACTGTAAGAAAAGTACAATGACATAAAAGAACAAAGGAAATGAGAATACTGTAAGAATATGCTTTCTGGAAATCATTTTTGTGTCTGTGGTTGTGTAGGGGAGAGTTGTTGGGCTTGTCCTTTCGGAGGAAGATTTGCTGCCATAGACCGTAATTGATTTGCAATCTCTGTGAAGCTTGGTCTCTCTGATGGGTCTGATGACCAGCATCTCTCCATCAGTGATCTCCACTCTGGATCACAAGTTTCTGGCACCGGAGGCCTCAAGGTGTTGCTCACGATACCGCCTATTTGTGTTGAAAGCATGAAAATTAGAAGTAATAAATCTTTAACTACAATTGAGGGGAGCAGTAGGTGCAGTTTAAACTTTAAACATTACCAATGATTGCTCCATAGTGCAAATCTGCATATGGCTCTTCTCCAGTAAGAAGTTCCCACATTACAATGCCAAAGGAGAACACATCAACCTATGGTTACACCAATAAATATCAAAATACAAACATACTGTCCAAAGTCTTAAGCATAAAGGTGTCTTATTGATGGCCAACTCAGAAATAGGAGCATCAGAAAATACCTTCTCAGAGACCAGATTGCTGCTGCCATTTAGAAGCTCCGGTGCCATCCATGGTAGTGTTCCCCGAACACCACCTGAGATAAGGGTCTGACATTTCACTTTTGAGAGACCCAAATCACCAACCTGGCATCAGAACAAGATGTGATATTTTCAATCATTTTATAATCAACAACAAACTCATCATGGGGTCAGATACTTGTTTCATAGAGTCCAGAAATAAAAGAGCTCAGATCATCTGGCTTAATATCATGCTATTTACTAGGTCCTTTGTCCAAAATTGGAGCATTACATGAGAGAGAAGTTTTTATTATCTTTTTGGTGGTGAAGAGAACTAGATTTGAAGATTTAATTTAAAAACCTTGTAAACCAAAACTCTTATATGGTGCCAGATATTTTTCTATCAGAAATAAAGTAGCTCAAAGTATTTCATCCAATATTAGCATGCTATTATTAAAAGAAATCCTTTATTTGAGGCAACTCCATAGCAATACACCACAGATAGGAAAGAATCTTAAGAGAACTTCACCGTCTTCTTTTATTATATGCTTTATTTCCATTTATAAACTATCAACATGAACAATTTCAAATGCTTAAAGCAACTAGCATGAATGGACCAAATAAAAAGCATATACAACTATTTTAAATAATTATAGATAAACCCATGCACAAGTTTAAAACAATATTATGGGTTGAATTGACTAGTCAACCTAGAAAATGCTTAGTCATCCCAAATAATCACATTGTGAGTATTGACTGATTAGTTGGTGAAGCAGTCGGTCTCGCTGTCAATTAACCAGTTAGTTGATCTAGTTGATGGCTAGTCAATGCCCTGATAATGCAGATTTTTGGTGGGGCATTATTTTAATTATACCATTGGTGATGCTTCTTTAAATAAAATGGGCTGGGCCAGGGTTTCTGGGCCTATGACTTCAAATCATCATCATCATCTAAGCATTGTCCCAACTATATGGAGTCTGCTACATGAATCCTGTTTCACCATTCCATTTAGTGCATTCGTCATCAAACAATGGGTGCTCAATATATTTTAGAGAAAATTATAGAAAGGTACCCTGTACTTTGGGGTAGTGACACTTAAGGACCTCAGCTTTCACTTGTGACAATGGAGTACCTTGTAGTTTCAAAAATCAACACTCAAGTCCAAGTCGATTAAACGATGTTAATGGTGACTGGTAAACTTACCAAAATGCCCATTCACGACTTGAGTAGTTGAGACTTGAGAGAATAAAATTGCAAAATGATAGAAATGGACATGGTTAACGTACAGATCATTTCAAAACACACATGACATCATGTGCTCCAGATAACTAACGGAGTGCCAACGGCTGTACTTGAGTGTTGATTTCTGAAATAACAGGGTGCCTCTTAAGTACAGGTTTGTTGTAAGTGAAAGTTGAGGCCCTTAAGTGTTGCTAGCCCCTTAAGTACAGGGTGCCTCCCTGTAATATTCCCAATATTTTATATAATATCCTATTATAGTATCCTATTATAATATTTATATATTACAAAATAACACACACACACATGCACACATACATATGGTCTGGGCTGGACCTCGACACAAAACACAGGCCAATCCCAGAAATTTCCAGGCCAGGCTACAAATGAACACCCCTAGGAATAGGTTAAATAGTCTAATCCCACCATTGAACCCTGAATTGCTCTCCTTCTCTCTTGTTCCATCATTCCTTCTGCCTTCTCTAACTAGTTGATGTAGTCAATGCTTTGACTTTTAGAGGTATGTGAAATAGCAAAGGGCAACATTGTAATTACCTTACAATGACACATCATAAGTATCAGCAACTGGTCCCTCTGACATGATTATTGACCAACTAGTTAGTGAAGCATTGGGATACTTCTCAATTAATTAGTTAGTTAATCTAATCAAGGACTGGTTGATACATTGAGAATGCTGATTTTTAGTATATACTAACAGTGATATTTCTTTGAATAAAAAGTAAGGGGGATTGAATGGTTTACCCCCTAATTGTTATTTCTTCTCTATTTTCTCTGGCTTATTTCATTTTTCTGCCTTTTCCTGAAAATAGTTGGTTGATCTATAGTCGAGGACTGCCCAATGCTTTGAGTCTTTGACAACACAGACTTTTAGTGCAGGAGTGTGAAGCATAATAGCAGGGGGCATTATTATAATTACCATTAGTGATGTTTCTTTGAATGTAAGAAAAAGGGAATGGGTAAAATTGCCTATCCCACAATTGAATGCCAAGGTTTTATAACAATTTAGCATTAGAGCCTTCCACCTAGAAACATATGTCAAACAGTGCCTTCCTAATGTCATCATAGCATCATGGCGATGCCAGCATCTGCATGGATGGAGAAACTTGGATTCAAATGGATCTTACAGTTTGACAAAAGATATTTGTTTCTTGGGCTCGAGGTTACATTTTTTCAAGATGTTTTTAAGTATAATTTCTTGGGTTCAAGGTTTTCAGTTTGGCAGTTTGACTGAGAAGTTTGTTGGGGTTTGACTCATTTGAGGCTGTTTAAAAGTTAAAAGTTTGACCAAATCATAATTCCAGATCTAATGAATCTGGTTTGGACTGATTTTGTGGAATATTTAAGGAATGGTATTGTTTTTCTGCCCCTTTTTTACCACCCAACATCAGACTTAGAGTGTTCTCCTTAGGTTGTGTGCAGTGTAGTGTGTGACCAGTCAATGCTTTTTGGACCTTGTGGCAAGTCTGCAGTTGCTAGCAATGATGTTTTGATGGGCTTCGCCCTTAGAAGACATTGTTTCTTGGAAGTGGTTCTGACCATGTATAGTTGAGCATTGAAAAAGGAGTACTAGCATTGCCTCTATTATTTAGGAGCATGGTTGCTGGGGTTTGACTCATTTGAGGCTGTTAAAAGTTTGATCCAATCGTAATTCCAGATCAAAGAATCTGGTTTGGATAGATTTGGTGGAATATTTAAGTAGAAATGGTAGTCTTTTTCTGCTCCTATACGAAGTACAATTGTCACCACCCAAAGAAGGATGGTGAAACCTCAAGAAAGATTGGGTGAAGACCATGGAGATATTTAGAAACTACTCCACAAATGAGATACTAAGGAATTGGGCTGAAATAGCACAAACAGATGTGCCCAAAGTTCTTGTAAGCATGGAATGGAAGCCACCAGCACGGAACAAACTAAAACTGAATTTCGATGGGAGTTCTCTTGGCAACCCTGGAAGGGCAGGCATAGGGGGTGTGTTCAGAAATTATCTGGGTGTGGTGGTGGCACTCTGCTCTGGACCAATAGGTTATGGTGACTCAATACAGGCTCAATCTCTAGCCCTACTTCAAGGTCTGAAGATGGCTGAGCAGATAGAAACAACAGACTTAGAAATTGAAGGAGACTCTATTGGTCATCTCTTGGGCCAAAAACATCACATCAGCACCTTGGAAGCTCAAGTTTATTTTCAGAGAAATTGACACACTTGCAAGGAAGTTCAACTCTCAGTTTGGTTGGGTTAAAAGGGATGCAAATGGAATGGCGGATACCCTAGCAAAACAAGGGGCAAATAGATCTTCATTGTAWTGGGCAGAATTGTAACTGATTGCTGGAGATTGCAATTTCCTATGCAATCTTTAGCTATTGTATCTTAATCTCTCTGTTATTAATGAAAGATTTTTACTGATAAAAAAAACCTCAAGAAAGATTCTTACAAAACAGACCAGAACAAAGCCTTCCTATTTACTCCTTGTTTTGCTAAAACATCTGCCATTCCATTTGATGTTCTTCTAGTCCACCTGAACTGCACCTAAGCTCCCTTGTTAAACACATAATTTCCATTAAGTGTTGCCCGAACGACCAAGTACCAAGCTTCTTGTTTGCATCCATCCTATTACCAACTTGGAGTCTCCTTCTACTTCTAACTGTCACAGTCCCCAATGTTTAGCCAATCTTTGGCCTTGGAGTAAAGCCAACACTTCTGCCCTTAGAGAATCTCCTACCCCAATTGGGCCTGAGAATAGGTTCAGCACTCTTCCTTCCTCATCTCTAAAAACACCCAACTCCAGAAGGACCTAGGTTATTAACAGAGCACCCATCAAAGTTTATTTTCACCTAATGTATAGGAGGGGACCAGTTTTACCACCCAACACTAGAAGTGTTCTCATTGGACCGTGTGCAGTGTAGTGTGTTTCCAGTCGATCCTTTTTGGACCTATGGCAAGTCTGCAGTTGCTAAAAATGACAGTTTTATGGCCTTCATCCCAATCCCCAATAAGCCATTGTTTCTTGCAAGTGGTTCTGACCATGTATAGTCAAGCATTGAGATAGGAGTACTAATTTGCCTCTATCATTTAGCATAGTTGTCAAGGCAACAAGGTGCCCTTCTGAGGCTCGCCTCGCCTAATCATCAAGCAGTTTTGTACATAATTATAAAATAGGCACTATTAAACTACAATATTCTACTACTACTACTACTTTTACTTTTTTTCTTTTCCTATAACAAAAATAAGGGTTCAGCCCCTATATTTTTTTATTTTTCTTTTCCTTCTTCTTTTTCTTCTCATTAATATGCTGATTTTCTATACTTTAACATGAACTCTATACTTGTCTTATGAATAATTATTAAGGAAATATGATTAAGGTACCTAGGGAACTACCCTAGGATCTATGTTTTCTACATAAAAAAATCCATTGCCTAGGCTACTAGGCAACAAGGCGCCCCCCTGTCGCCTAGCCTCGCCTTGGCGCCTTGAAAACTATGTTATTTAGTAGTGTGGTTGCTGGGTTTTTCCCCTTCATCATGTCTATGACAAGTGGAGTTTCTAATGATAACGAGCAATGGTGGCCGTACTATTCCTATGGACATTTTGCATGGGTGATCAGCCTGGGAAATGAATCACCACGGTTAAACTTGATGGCAATAATATCTAGAATGGTCATAATATGCTAGTGAAGATGATCAATCTTTCAAAAAAAAAGAGGGATAAGAGATATTGTTGCGATGTCTTGATTAAACTCCATGCTCCCAAAAATTAGTAGTAGTCTATTTCTATGGACTGCCAAGGAGGTTTGTAACGTAGCAGAGACTTGTACTCAAAAGATGAAACCTTATCTATGGACTCCAAAAACAACTTCAAATGATAAATAAGGAAGACAGGAAAAGACAGACACCAAGTACCAGCCTTTATAAAACCTTATCTGCCAGCTGCGCCTCACCCGGAACCCGGGAGAAATAAGAAAATTGCAGCCACTCCCTGTAGGCTTCACAGAACTCCACAAGGCTTGGATTCGATCTTCAAGGTAAAGAAAGGGGACCCCTTCAGTCACTGAGCGCCAAGGTGAAGCTCCCTGTGGGACCCGCAATCAAAACTCTCCAGTTGATTAGGGTTTTGGGGCAAAATCTCCAAAGACTGTCAAAACAATGAACAAGACATCTTCCTTTTCTCCAAAAAACCACTACCACCTGGGCTGAATACCTTCTTCAATCACTCATTCGATTCATCTCTCCATACACACTGTATGGGAAAAAAAAAAAGAAAAAGAAGGAAGAAAAAGGGGCCTGCTCTGATACCAAGAAGAAAAACAGTCCCAAAAGAGTGAGAGAACTGATTAAAAAGTTGTGAAATACAAAGTAGATATCAGCAGCAAGAAGAAGAAGGAGAAGAATTCGGCTGTGAGAGGGTTGAGGAGAAGAGTTGTTCGTACAGCTCCTCCTTCCCTAATCTTTTCACTAAGAAATAATTACTAATTTTCTGAAATTACTAGACCTTTAATTGGGCAGCTAACTAATTAAACAAGAATAAAAAAGGTTTAACAGGCCCATTAACAAAAAAAATAGAACAGAAACATAAAGAAATAAAAACAGTTGTGGTCTATGGGTTATGGGCCATTCGGTCCATCCTCTCTACAATTAAAGGGTTGAGAGAAAATTTTGTCATCACTAGGTCAAAACAAAAGAGAAATTCAGCTTGTTCACAACCGATGATATACTAAGAAACTAGAAATCAGTGACTGATTCTTCATCATCAAGAAGATTACTTGTGACAATTCAATGGGAGAATTTGGCTGGTGGTATCACTAAATTGAACTTTGATGGGAATGCGGGAATCTATCCAAAACTACGTTGTCAAATGTGTCATTTGTCAACAATACAAGTACAATATTAGATCTCTAGCGGGACTTTTGCAACCCCTTCCAATACTGGCTCAAGTTTGGGAGTTTTGTGTTGGTACCTTGGATTCTAGTTACAACTCAAGCATGTAGCCCCAGTATTGACCACCCCCAAGGGTGTATGTACTTCCAGAGCAGAGACAAGTGGATATCGCTAGTATCCAGACTCACAAGTAGCTAGATCTCATAGAATGGGTTGATATCACAACATAGCCCATCGTGGCTTATCCAATTCATGACTCATCTGGATCTTGTGGCTCTAGACTTGTGGTAGCTTGGTATCGCAAGTTGATCTTGCTAGTGTTTTAAAAGTGCAAGGCGCAAAAAAAGTGCAAAGGCCATTTTGTGCCTAAGGCACAAGGCAAGGTGTGTGCCTTTTTTAAGCAAGGAACGAAAATTCAAAAAAGAAGCAATTTCAATAAAAAAAGCTAAAAATTTCGAAAAAAACAAAATATTAAGATATTAAACACAATATTAATTATAATATAAACTTAAATTTTAAAATAAATGTTTAAAAAACTTATTATCTCAAATTAAAATACATAAACATTACATGTAAAACATAATGAAAATTCAAAATAAAATCAAGCATAACATATGAAACATATTCAAGCATGTAAACTCTTAATCTCTTTAATATTTTCCCAATTGCATTACTTCAAATAGCTAATGTGATGTTAAACATTATGCATTCCTGATTCTAGAAGCCACCTTTTCTACCAAGCCCCTCAAGGCAAGCCCAAACATGTAGATATCAGGGTCTAAAATTCTGAATCACTATAAAATGTTAAATGCCTTTTAAAAATATCTTTTATTAGGGTGAATGAATGAGCAACATTAGCAAATATGAAAAAAATAGAAAAATACACATTTTCAAAAGATGTGCGCCTGGGTTGAAGCACAGGGTGCAAGCCTAGGCACACCAGGTGAGCACCTTTTGAAAGTGCTGCACCTAGGACCTAGGTGAGGTGCATACCCTAAAATGCACCTCACTTGTGTGTCTAGGCGAGGCTGGGGCGCGCCTTTTAATCACTAGATCTCGAGATCGCTAATCTCATTGGACTCGCAAGTGTGATCTCGTAGGAGGCGTGAGATTAGTTTCTTGACTATTTGTGGGGACCATTCCAATTAGAGGTTTTCTCATATAAATAGACTTGTCCCTTGCATAGAAAGTCATCTTGGGCTCCAAGAAAGAGAACAAGAGTGAAAAAACAGGGGAATGAACTTTCAGGTATATTGGGAGCTAGGGCTTTGGTGGAAGGTTGTAAATGTTAGGACCATTCAAATGAGACAAGAATAGGGTTTAAGGGTGTGTTCTTAGTCACCCATGCCCAAGAAAGAGTTGAATTTATATTAAAATGTTACAAGAAGTTGAAAGGACAAACCTACCCTTCATAAGTAACAAAAAAAGAAAAGAGAGAAAACACATTACATATGATACAATGCTTATAATACAAGATATAGCCATACTCCCAAGCTTATGATATACGATCTCTACCCCCCCCCCTCAAATTGATGTTCAAAGATAAGCATCAATTTGTCAACTAGGAATTGATGACGAGTCTGAGTCATAGCCTCACTGAAAAGGTCAGCCAGCTGAAGATTAGAGGACATATAAAGAAGAGGTATGTGCCCAGCAAGAAATTGGTCTCTGATGAAGTGGCAATTTACCTCTTATGTGTTTGGTACGCTTATGGAAGACCAGATTAGAGGCAATCTTGATGGCACAAACATTATTTGCATGGGCCTTCAAAAAAAAAAACATTATTTGCATGGAGAGGAATTGGGGATGGTATATCCACAGAAAGATCATGAAGTAAAGCATAGAGCCAGATCAAAAAAAAAAAAAAAACAAAACAAAATGCATGCTTTTCATTTGCAATTCTATAAGTAAATTTCTTCAATTTTGTTGTGACATCAGCATGAGAGCTTGGATTAAAACCAACACCCCCCAAAAGGCTCATTAAAATCCTGCCTTCTTCATCCCTTACCACCCCTTCCACACATTCATACCTGACTCAACAGAATTGCCTAAATAGTGCACATCAAAATTAACTTTTAGTTGCTAGCTTCAGGGGGTTGCCAATTGATAATCTTCTATGGACTTCTAAGTGACACATTGGCAGTACTGTTCCATCCTCTTAACAAATCATCCATCTTCCCATCATGAAACTCCTCACACACTAGTACCTAGTATTTTAAAAGCATGGGTGCAAAGGCCATTTTGCACCCGAGGTGCAAGGTGCAAGGCGAGGCACAGGCCTTTTTGAAGCAAGGAACAAAATTTTTAAAAAATAAAAAATAAAAAAAGATTGCAAAAGTGTAAAAAACTCAAAATAAATTAAGAAAAAAATAGTAGTATTAATGAAAAAAATAAACTTTAATTTTAAACTAAAAGTTTTAAAGAAAGCCTATTAGCTCAAATTCAAATACATAAATATAACATATAAAACATATTCAAAGTGAACTTTAATTTCTCTATTTCTTTTTTCATTTGCATTATTTCAAATAGTTAATGTGATTTTACATCATTCATTCCTAATTCTACAAGTCGCCTTTGTACCAAGCCCAAACAAGTCCATGTTAGGGTCTTCAATTCTTAATCCCTAAAAAAATGATTTATAATTTTAATTATCTTTTAAAAATATCCTTTATTAGAATGAATGAATGAACAACATTAGCAAATAGGGGGTCCCAGTCAAAAAACACCAAAAAGCACAAAAAATAAAAAGGGTGCATGCTTTGGCTAAGGCATAAGGTGCACCAGCCACGCACCTTTTGAAAGTGGTGTGCCTGGGACTGGGTCGGGTGCAAACCTTAAAATGCGCCTCGCCTATGCGCCTAGGTGTGCCTTTTAAATTACTACTAGTACACAATGTGCAATTCTTACTTTATCATCACCCTCTAATTGTTGTAATTCACTTTTTCTCTAATATGTTTTTTTTCTTTTTTACAATAAAGAGCTATAGTTAAGGCTCATGAAATTGTCTTTATAATGCATGCTTTCAATAAAATTGGTGTGGTTAAAAGTTAAAACATATCATGTGATAACTAGTTATAATGTGGGACAAAAATTTCAAGCATGTATACGATATAAAATACTAGTTGCAAATGAATCATAGACACAGCCCCTGACCTTGCAAATTGGCCTATGAGGATCTCGAAGATTGACAAGTAGGTTGTCACTCTTTAAGTCAAAGTGAACAATATTCTTGGCATGCAGGTACTCCATCCCAAAGGCAACATCCATTGCAATTAAGAGGCGTTTACGCTTGTCAAGGGTCCTGATAAGAATTTGTATTATGAACGTGGGATATTTAATGGAAGAATAGAACATGTACATCATGAATTGTAATAACTATATATATTAAAACCAAAAGTAGGAAAAAGATAAGGCCTCACTTATCACTCTTTTGCAAAGCATTTCTCAATGATCCATTAACCATGTATTCTGTTACTGTTGCAACAGAGCCCTCAGGGCCATCCAGCACAACACCATAGAAAGCCAACACATTTGGATGGTGCAAGTCGGCAAGCTTGATTGCCTCATTCCAAAAATCATGTCTCTGAGGAGTAAATGCAGAAGCAACAGTATAAGGACGGAAAAACAATAAAAAAGGTGATTACACAAATTCATAAATAGCATTAATGACAAGAAACAAACCATGCGTTCTTCCTCTGATGGTTTCCCAGCAAAGCATCTATCATTGATTCTCTTGATGGCAACATCAGAACCTCTCCATTTTCCATGATACACAGTACCAAAGGTGCCAGAACCTAGTTCTCTCAATTCTTCAAGGTCACTGTTCTTGATTATCTGCCAGAAAGGAAAAGGGCCAGATATGAATAAGCTGGTCAAGCAGCAAATAAGTCCAACTGGTTAAGAGTCAAAGCAGCAAATCTTCAACCTGCAAGCGACCAATTCCATCTGAAATTGGAAAACCAAGATATGTCTTATCTGGTAATTTGGTCTTGATGTCCTGAATTACAATACAATAAGACAAGTAAGTTGATCTTAAACTTTAAACAATTCAAGGAAGATGAGGTAGCTTAAGCACCTCAATTTTGGATCTATTCTGCCCTTCACCATCATTATCTTGAACTTCTCTGTCTCTGTTGGCTTCAGAAGTTGATTGATTCATCTCATGGGCAGAAAAGTCAGGATTAGAAGGTATAGATGACTGAAGAACAAAAGCACCAACACCTTCGGAAACAGCCTGAAGTTCCTGCTTGATATGTTCATCGGCTGCACCTTAAACAATGAAGAGGAATATGATAAATATGTGCATACAGCCTAAAGAAACCATGAATATGATAGATAATGTTATAAAAATACCAAAAGATTTCTCAACTTTGGCCGACCGAAGTTGTTCAGAGCCCAAATCCTTGTTCAGATTCCCTGATGGCTGGTGAAGAACTGCTTCCTCAAATTGCATTTTTGCACCTGAATGTCCACTACCATCCCTTTTGACTAAGGCTTCTTTGCTTGTCAGCACCTTGACGGGTCTTGGAGGTGGGAATTGTGAATCATGTCGCAAACTCCATGGATCCTGGTTGCTGAAAAGTGAGTTGGAGGAAGCACAATCCCAATTATCCCCAACCACCCCACTGGGTGGAGAAAAAGCAGACGAGGCATTACCACTTGAAGGGCCAAATACTGCATCATTAGGGACCATCCCTGACTGGAACCATGAAGCTCCATCCTTCCATTCACAAACAGGTGAGATCCTATCTGTGGCATGGGATGAATCAATGCCTGAGAATGCAGGCTTACCATGCCATATTTCATCAGAAGCCACATGTGGATTTCCATTCTTTAGATGTCTTTGTGGTCCCAAATGACCCACTGTAGGATGTGGTGCTACTTGAGTCAGCCCTACAGGTTGAATATTATGTGTGTACACAACCTCCAAGGAGGAAACCGGAAGCTTTTCAATTGTCTTAATATGATTCCCATCAGAAGCAATTCCAGTTTTGGTAAAGTCACTAGTAACAAACATTTCCTTCCCTCCAACTTTAGGTCTATCAAAGGGTAATCTACTTTGCTCTTTGTAGCCAGAAACCTCAGGTGGACTTATATGAATTGCTTCCATTTTTGTGTCAATTGTTCTAAGATGGTCATATGAAATGCAAGAGTCTGATTTGTCTTCTTTTGGGACAAGGCCAGGAAGCTTACCAGAGTATTCTGCGACAGATTCATGAACCAAGGGTTGTGAAGTTTCGTAAGACACAACTCTCACAGGAGGAACATTAGTACCAGCCGGTTTGTTCATCAAAGTTTCTTGTTTAACTTGATGTTGGAGTGGCACTGAAGGCTGCTGCAGAAGATCTTCTTGGCGGGACTGAGGGATATTACCAGGAATTACACCACAAGACTGTAAATCACCTGGGAATCCCATCAAACCAGAGGGAAATAACGTCTTAAGATTATCAGGGTTGCCCAGTTTTTGGACTAGAATCCTCCCATTATCATGTTGGCTCTCTAGATTCTGAGCAAATCGAGGTATTCCTTGTGGAGGTGTGGGCACCTCAGGATCCAAATGTCCCACAACTCTTGGCCGAATCCCATTTCCTTGGTGTTCAGCCTTGCCCTCCCCCAATATTCCAGTTTCTGTTGCTCTGTCTGTTGGCCCAGGCCTCATATTGTCCTCTGAGTGGAGACTGTGAAAAACCACATTCGAGTGAGAAACAGTACTCGCAGAGCCATTCCTGCACTGCTGTATCAAAGTGTCCGAATGTACATGGGGCAACGATGTTTGGCACATGTCCGGTCTCAAAACATTGTCAGGAAAGCTTCCCTGTTGATGAGGTACCCAACCTTCAGAGAACACCACATGATCTGTAGGTGGTACCTGATGCCAACCATAAACTCCCGCCTGCAATTGGACTGAGGCCTGGGGAGGATGTAGATGAGCCTGATAAGCTTTATAATTCTGATCAACGGGAACCTGAAATACCTTATGCCTAGCTGAATTCTCTTCTGGATAAGGCTCCACTCGTGTTTGCTGAGGTTGCACAAATTGTTGCATTCCGTTCTGTTTTGTATTAACATAAGGAGATGAGGAAGCCATTGTCATATTTACTGCAGGAATAAACTGATGAGAAGGAACACCAGATGCATTATCCCGGACCTGTTGTGGGTGATCAGCAAGCCTGCTGGCTGACCCTGCAATACCCAACATCTGAGGATTTGTATAGCCAATTTGGGGAGGCAGTTGTGGATGATCCACACGATTGAAGGCTTCCTGGTGAGGATCGACGTAAGCATGAACATAAGCGGCAGAGGGTTGAATTTCCATTCCAGAAGGTTGCTGCAAATCATACCCCAATACCTGATGCTGCTGCCCCATAGAAGGCATCTGTCTTTGTAACTCAAACTCCGGTCTAGAAGACTGAAGTGGAACCGTCGTGACTGGAGGATGACCCAAAGGCACTGCGGAAGCATCAGTATAAATAACAGGATTTGGACCGCTGTACAACAATCTTGTGGCGGCATCCTGAGAAGTAGCAACAGCTCGAGGAGATAGCACGCCCGGGGAGAATGGCCCACCACCATCCCCGTGACCGGGACCGAAACTATCGGCGGCATCACCCCCACTTATCAAACTATCAGAATTCTGTGTGGACGCTGCACTAGCTGTACTCTCTTTTCTTGTAATCCCACCCCCAACACCGTCGCGAATTCCATTCACAGCATCCACATACCTCTGCCCGCCATCCTGCAAATCACCAAAATGCACAAGACCAGACGAGTCGAGTTCAGAGGCAGAGAACAGAAACACCCGAAGCTTCGCGGATCCATCTGAAGAGTTTTCAACGAGCTTCTCATACTCCTCCATCATGTTCTCAAGATCTTCCGGACAAGAAACCGATACAAGAGCATCAAGATCCTCATCAGGGAGTTGATATTTGATGTGCACAGGTTGACCGTAGGTGTCCGTCATCTTCTGCACCAGCTCTTGAAAACTAGCATCTTTCCTCACAGCAATGATTCTAGTCTGGCCTCCGACATATCTCAACATCCCATCACTGGGTCTCGGCAAAATCTTGCCTCCAAAACTGCACAAGAACTTAACTTTCTTCCCCGAAACCGACTCCTCCCCGCCCTCCTCACTCGCCTGCTCCGCCGCATTACCTCCCACCCGGCTCCCAACATTGGAGAATTCAGCATATGCACTCGTGACAGCAGTGCCGCTACCAACCGGTACAGGTGGACGAGGAAACAAAGCCATCCCTGGATTCGCCGGATAGCCAAACCCTAAACCTACATATCCGGTTTCGGAAACCGTCGCCGGATAATAAGGCGGCGGCGGCTGTGGTCTATACCTAGGGCTACCAACGTCACGAATCGAATTCGGCAAATATCCCTCGACGTTCCTCCCTGCCGCCAAAGTAGCAGCAATGCGAGGCTCTTCGGCAACCGTCCGAGATACGTTCAATGGCCGGAGATCCTTCGGTATAGAGTTCTGATCAATTGCCATCAGCACACCAATGAAAACGTAACAAATGATTTAATGGCAGAGAATTTGACCTAATGGAGAAAGAAACCTAGGTTTTTGGAGGCTCTATACTCTAGCTGGATAAGACTAGAGTCCCAGCTTCCATTAACATTCACAGAGAGGAGAAAGATAGATGGATAGAGAGAGAGAGAGAGAGATGGGGTCGGTGCACTAGGGAGTGGAGGTTTCGGTTAGAGCTAGGGAGCTAGGTGGCAACTGACAGGCGCGGGATCCTCTTCAAGAGTTGAGTGTTGATTACGACCAGAAGCGAAACTCAAACTTGTTATTTCCCTCTCTTTCTGAGATGCTGTTTGTGTTTCTGACTTTTTTGCTTCTGCTTTCTCCTTAAATATTTACCGACTAGCGACTAGCAGAGGAATCTCTAGTTCTCTACGCCCTGTAGACTGTAATCGACTACTGGGATGGCCTATTTAGGGTCCGTTTGGTTTACCGTCGGAATTGGAATAGAAATTAAAATCCTTTAAAATGGAATGGGAATGATTTCCCATAGTCTGTTTGGTATTTACAAGAGAATGAGAGAATATTATTTCACCAAAAATGAAAATGAAATTTTAATTCCATCCAATCAAACAGTTGAAATTGGAATAACCCATTTTTTTATATAACCAAAAGGGGCTACACAAGATGGGGTACCACATCCCCAAACATCAGTCATACAAATAGAAAAAAGAGGGGAAGGAAGAGAAGCTAAACTAAGATTAACGTACTCTGAAGGAGCAGATAAAGCTTCGTGTGCCAGCCAATCAGCCGCCTGGCTTGCCTCCCGATAGATATACTTATACGCCAAACCTCTTTGAAACCCATCCTTTAGCTTGATGCAGTTATTGATGACGTGTCTTATCTTCCAAAGAGTTGGAATCTTCTGCTTGAGATAAGAAATGACTAGTTTGAAATTAGGGCTGTTTATGGGTTGGGTTGGGTCAGTTTATTGATGTTTTTCCAATTGATTCGACTTGGTCGAATTACCTGAGATAGAATTCAAAACCGACCCAGTGTTAAGCAAAACCAACCTGGTCGGTTTGAGTCGGGTTAGGTCGGTTTTAGCTCTAAGTTCATCCATGCCCCCCATGGCCACCTAGTTTTCTGGAAATATATTTAAAACTGAAATATATATTTTAGAAATATATATATATATATATATATAAACAAAAATATACATACAAATATATTGGAATATATATTTTATGGAAATATATATATGACATATTTCATAATATATATTTTTTAGATATAGATATTGGAATATATATTTTTAGATATTTTAGGTTTTAGTTAAGTGGGAACTAAGTCGGTTCGGTTCTGGTCAATTTCGATTCACACAAGAAAACTGAAACCGACCCGAACCATCGATTTATAAATTTATACAACCCGAAACCGACTAGTGCTGATGAAAACCCGACCAACTCAAATTGGGTCGATCCAAATTGATCGGTTTGGTCGGATTGGACCTTCCTATGAATAGCCCTATTTAAAATCACCTTCGATAAAGATGGAATAATCTCTAAAATTCAAGGCCAAATTATACGCTTCTAAGTTTTTGCAATGTTAATTGAAACAATGCCAAACTTATAAGCCTTAATTCCAGACCCTTATTCCCACGAATTGGAATTGGAATAATTCAGTTGGAATTGAATTCCTGGGTTTCAAGGAATCCAAAGAGGGAAAGGAGTCAAGAAGGCACGTGAGATGTCGCATGCAGAGAGGGTGAAGTGAAACGGTTAATGGAGAGTTGACACGTGTGCATGGGTGGGTGTGAAATGAGACAGGCTTTTGGTCTTTTGGGCTTGAGATTGTTGGACTCGGATGAGCTTAGTTTTTGTTTGGTTCGTGTTGGGCTCTAGAGCTTTATTTATTAGTGTGTTTTGGACCAATAGAGTGGAGTTTTGGAATGGAACGGAACCCTAGGTCTTTTGCGTTATTTTTTGCTTTTGTTTTTGTTAGGGTTTATTTGTCTGAATTAATTGATTTCGGTTTTTGTTTGTATTCTTTCATATTTAAGTTTATCTCTACGTTACGTGGCTAGCTAATTAATAGTATTGAAAGCAAACAATTGAGCTATATTTGGATAACGTTTTGCCTTCTTGCTTTCGGCTGTGTGAAAGAAAAATGAGCCAAAAAGTGTTTGGACATTTGGTAAGAACTTGAATCTGCCACCCATCTGACCACACAGTACCCACAAGACATTTCAGTCCCACATTTTGGGAATATCTCTTATACCAGTATGTTATCAATGAGGGGAGATATTCTTAATACGTGGCTGTAGTGTCTTGTGGGTTGTGGGTAATAGACCTGAACTCGTTGGTAAAAGTTGCTTTTTAAGACATAAAACTTTAAAGTCAAAACACTTTAACCTCCAAAATCACAAAAGTTTCAACTTTTTGGGCTTTAAAATCCTTTACTTTCGACCAAATGAGAAAGAAAAAAGTTTTGGTGCTTTTAAAACACAAATTTAGCATTTTTCTAATTTTTCTTAATATTTTAATTTTTTATTTCCAATATTACAAAAAAAAATTGAAGAAAATGGCCCCTACTGATAGGCAACATTGCCTTTTTGGTCACCATATTTCATTAGCAGTAAGATACATAATGATATATTGGAAATTAATTTTGTATTCTGTGAGTTTTTTAAAAACCGGTAGATATAACCATTTTAAATGATTAACAAAATTCTTACAAAAAAATCAGTTTTAATATTTTAACTTGCTTAAAAGATGCCTAACCACTAAAAAACAACACTTTTGGCTGTTTGAAATGGCTGAAATTTTACTTAATTAAATGATTTACTGTTTTGTCTTGGGAGAATGACTGTTCAGCCCACCTCAGAATTCTCAGCCCCATCATACAGGTGGAATGAATCTTGACCATGGATTGATCCCAAATCCACAGGTAGGATGCAGTTTATAGGGGGATTACTAATAGACTATGGAAAGCTGTAATTTCAGAATTCTGCAGTGGGTTGCACTGTACTTCTCCGGGAGAATGACTGTTCAGCCCACCTCAGAATTCTCAGCTCCATCATACAGATGGGATGAATCCTGACCATGGGTCGACGCCAAATCCACAGGTAGGATGCAATTTATAAGAGGGCTACTAGTGGACTATGGAAAGCTGTAATTTAAAAATTCTGCAGTGGGCTGCAGTGTACTTTTCCACTTTATCTTATAGTGGATAAATAATTGATCGTAATAAAAATTAAATGGTATAGTTAATAAGTTAAGGTTCAAGATTTTGATATGGTATCGGGCATTATGTATCATTAGGTTCCTGTACATCATATAAAGGGCTTTTAGGGTTTAGCCCTTTTTCAGGGGTAGGTCTGCATAAGACTGATCCCCCCTAACCATTTTTTTAAACAAAAATTAAGAAAAAAGAAATATATGTGAATCTGAACACACATATTCATGGTATTGTGTATGAATATTTGAACGTTGAATATATTAATCAACCTAACTTCAGCTTCGGTCATTGGGGAACTCGCAACTTCTAAATAACTTATTCTCCAAAGCAATAAATCATTCAATTCAGCCATTTCAGCTGTTCTCAAAAAGCAACTAACATATAAACTTGCAAATTATCATATACCATGATTTATTACAAAGTAAGGTAGTTGAGGTGAATGAGGCATACTTTCATTTAGATAAATTTTTGGATATATATATATATATATAATTTCAATAGTGATTGTATTATAATTTAATTTCAGAATATTCTTTATATTCCAGATTATATTAATTTCTCTCTTTAGCATTTTAATCTTTAGGACTAGTGTTTTCAATCCATCATTGACTTGGCTGGTTGGACCAGTTAATCAATATCTAACCTACTAGGCTACTAGTTACAAAAGAAAAAAAGTCAATTTGGTCCACAACTTGTTGACCTAGACAGATAGATGGTTGAATTGTTGACCCATTTAACCCATTCAATGGGTTTCCAGTTTTCTTTGTATTATTTAAAAAAATATTTTTTTTTGTATTATTTTATTAATTATTACATTCATTTTTTGGATAATATATAGAAAATAGAAAATAAATTCCAAGGTTTTAAAAAACAACCGGGGACCAAAACTGTTTTGGCCACTGGTTTTTGGGTCAACGGTTCAGCTATCTGATTCGAACAGATAACCCGCTCCAATTAAAATATAAAAATAATTAAAATAAAAAAATGGTAAAAAACCATTGAACGGGCCAATGGTTCGACCACCTAGGTCAGTAGGTTGCTGACCAATTCAATAGTCTTAGGCTAAGAACCGGGTTCGGGGTAAAATGGAATAGATTGCTTGGATGATTACCGGGCAAAACGGTTTGACCATCTAGGTCAATGGCAGTTCGAAAACATTGATAAATTCGTAAAAAATGCATAAGCTACATACTTATGTTCATTTAACTCAGCCCAAATCTCCTCCAACAAAAACCATTACAACGAGTTTCAACATGATCTGCTTCCAGCATTCACACATCTTATACATGGTGAGTCCCAGTCTTACAGTGAGATGTGTGAATAGAGATCATGTTGGCACGTATTGCCATACTGGAATGGTCTTTGCATTGGGAGGATATCCCAATTCCATTCGACTATACTTTAGGCTTAGTTTGGAAGGAGTACAAATACAAATATGTACTGTGCAAATACATATATACAAAATACAGGGTTTTGCACATTTGTATTTGTATTCCTTCCAAACTGAGCCTTATGCTGTTTTTTGGTGTAGGTAATCTTTTGATTATGACCAAATTGCTCTATGGGGCCCAAATCAATTTAAGCTCTATCCTTCATGTTGCATTCAAGTTGCCATCGCAGAGAATATTTACAAGCTGAGAGGTAAGGGGACCAAATGTCCATGGATTCCACCAGCTCAACAACCCCCTCAACCAAACCTGTCAAATTGCAGACCAAAAACCTTTAACTATTAGCAGAAGGATGCCTACTTTTTATCTTGTTGAGTATTTAAAAGGCCATGATTTACCTTTGGGAGTCATAGTGAAAATAGGGTAATATCATATATAGCCGATTGGAGAATTATAATTGGCCATAACATCTGAAAATAGCATAGGTTTGCAAATCGGGTTACCTAATTTAAAGAATTTCAATTATTTTGGGCTTGGATTAGGACTCGGGCTGAATGAAATTTTAACAAATTCCCAACCCAATCTGACCCAAATTGCATCCCTGCAATAACATTTAATTCGTGGCCTTAAAGACAGGTTTTCTTTCTTTTCTCTTTTTTATCTAAAGAACTTAATACCTTAATGGATGGTGCAAATTTGAGGACAAACAAGCATATCATGCAAATCAATACTCTAGATATG